CTTTAAAAATTATTATTATTATTATTATTATTATTATTATTATTACTACTACTACTACTACTACTACTACTACTACTTCTATTATTACTATTATTATATTATTGTTAGTATTATTAGTATCATTACTGGTTACTAGGCCTGCAAGCAAAAGTCAGTTCTGGATAGACGTTTTGCTGATTGTGTCTGTCTTAAAGCAGAACTGTTCCTGTGCTGCACACACAAACACACCTCTTCTCATTTTTCTCCCATGACAATAAAAATCCTGACTGAACTGATGAGCAGAAATCACTGAATGGACGTTTTCCTTGAGAGCGCTCAGCTTTGAGGGGATCATTTGTAAAACTCAAGAAAGTCTGAATGGCTCAAGTTTGATGAAATGGCTCTCTTGCCTTTCCATGTCCAAACACTTCCTTTCCTGTAATTCTCAATACCTGACCACAAAAAAAGGCTAGCAGCTAAAAGGTTATTTTACCCTAATTCATGTGCAGTAAAATGTATTTTCCAATTAACGAAATTTGCCGATTTGTCCCGCTTGGACACTCTTATAATTTATAATGTAAAAGTGTTCTTTCTTTATCTAAAGACCAAGGTGACTGCTTTTAATTTTCTGTAACCTCTTTACACTTGATGTTCACCAGACTCATAATGTTAATTGGCTTCATATACGGATCATCAGTTTAATGAAGGAATAAATCCTATGTTGCTTTATGTCCCTCTGTTTTAACAATGATTGCTTTAATGAAGAATGTGACGTGTTTGAAATCAAAGCTGCAGGAGACATTAGAGGGTTTTTTTAATGATGACTGAAATGCTTATTTAAAGCTAAAACCATGAGGTTTCCATTTTTCAAAAGCTTTTCTTTAAATCATCTTTAAATAATTTTCTGTGGAAAATACTGACACATTCTTCAGCAAAGAACTTTGTCATTGTCAGCAGAGACTGAGAATAATACAGTTTTGTAATATATACATCCCAGTTAGGTTATGAAAATATTTCTGAGCTGATTTTATACCACTGCAGATTCAGAATTTAAGTAAATTCAGAATTTAAGTAAATTAAGTAATTATTTAGATATAAATATATTTAGATATAAATATAAGATCAGAAATTAAGTAATTCAGAATTTAAGTAAAACTCCCGGTGAGTTAAAAGGAGTTATGCCTGCCTAAAAAAGGAGTATTTTGGGGTGACTAATACATCTTTTTGTCAACCTACTGTATTTTCACTGTTCACATGTAGATGAAGAAAATTATAAGGGAGAAAGAATTGTCAGTTCACACACAAAAGCTCTGGATTGCTGTAATCTATTTCTCCCCATGGAGGTTTTAGGATTTTGGGAGCAAGGGTAAAATGTAATGAAACATGGGCTTGTAGAGGTAGGTGACTGCAAATCAGAGCATCAATTAGGTCAAGCTGAAAAGCAGCAATTAGACCCAACTGCATGTGCTGGTTATACTAGCTACAGCAGGTTTAAAATGTACAAAGCAAATGCATTCTGGTAATTGAACTTTTACTCTCCTGGTCCCACTTACAATGAAAGTAAGCCTTACAGCCCCCTCACCCTACCACCCCCCACCCATATACTGGATATATTTTTTTTCTCATTTGAGAGCTGCTGTCTGGACTGAAATTACATGATCTTTAAATACAGGAACATGCAACACAGAAGAGGAAAGTCTCTAATCAACGCCTGGGCCAGAGCTGAGCAGCCATGGCTTTGGACAGAAATTTCATGACATGGCAGAGGAAGCACATGAGAAGTGAAGGATATTAGCTTAAATTACATATCACTGAGAATTCATTTAGTGTGCCAGGCCTGATCCCATGACCTCTTGGTTTTATGTCCCCACAAATATTATACTCATTCAACCCAGGTCACACCAAGCTTTAAGTAGATACACATATATCTTCTCCCCCATCTGCCACACAGTACTGTGTTTAAGAGAACTATGTTTTTCCTTTCAGAGTTGTCCAGGACTACAGTCTTACAGCCAAAACTGTATGAGTATGAAGAATACAGCCCATAAACCATACTTTGTCTTCCCTTTCTGTGGATAACTAGAAGGTACCGTCGGGCATCTCTAGTGGTACAGAGGAATAGTCTGTCAGAAGCCTTCTTCAATAGTAACAGTTCTCTCCCCAGAGCTTTGCCTTTATGAAATCTGTGCCCAGTCCCTGTGTTGCTTACCATATGAAGTGACCAAGAGTGCAGGTTGGGACTATGCCAGGATTTGCTGAGGCAAAAAAACACCGGTTTTGAGGGGAATAGGCTGGGGTTTTCAGTGACGATGTCATATAGAGGTGCTTCTTCCCAGATGTGTTCTTTCCCACTAAAATGAGTCTTCTAACCAAGATCTGTGAGAAAAGACTTCCAAGGGAGTAGCTGTAAGAGTGAGAAAAAGTAGAAGCATTACTTGGAGGTAGGAAAATGAGATACAGAAAGACTAGTTGATTTAAGTTGTCCATAATGGACAACTACTGCAGAAG